TAGAGAGCCTTTGAATGTTATTAGAATGACGAAATGGGTTGTGCATGTTTACTAGCGCTACTCAGCCAGCAACAAAAACCATTAAATCTATCTTAAAAAAGTTCTTAAAGTGTATTGAGCAGCAGCCTAAAAAATACTATTTAACTTACCCATATAGTTACAAAATGCTCGAACTCGCATTGTGACATTTATAATTTGGTTTATATTTCTCCAGCAGATTATTTATCTGCAGAAAAAGTTTATTGTGCTCTTATCGTGTCTAATAACAACCAAACACAGAAACATTGCCTAAAATGGTACCTATCTTGACAAATTATTTGCAGTGGCCTATATTACGGACCGTGGCCCACTAGGTTGTTAACATGGTTGAAAATAACAAGACATTTTTGGATGTAAAAAAGGCACTAAGAGTAAATAATATTTAAGCAGCTACTGTCATGACAGAAAGGTCATATTCCTTTTAAAATAGATCACATCATCTATCTATCTATATATTAATTACGTAAGCCGATTCTTTGCGTCAAAATTGTGGCCGACTGGGAAGTCGTAGAACGACGGGAGAGGGCTCAAATTAAAGGTCTCGATCCCGTGACGGCGGGAAAAATAGTGAAATTCCCAAAATCTTAACACAAAATTAGATATAACGTAAAATGTTCTCCATAAGAATAGCATTAGAAGCCATTTACTGCTGATTTTTGTTTACTTCAATACAGCTGATTGTGATCATTAAGTAAGTAAGCAATATTAAATTTGGATTATTCATTTGCCAGTCCATTCTGCAATGTACTGTATACTATATAAAACCAACTATATAAAGGGATAACGTTACCCATTATAATCAAGACTTCTTAGTTATGTCAAAGTTGAAATAAATTGTTTTCAAGATTAAAGAAACGATTCAAGATTATTTGAAGATTTTCTTTGTTTTTATATCAAAACATATGTTAAAGATGTATTCCACACATTTTTTTTTTAATTTACTTACATTGATATTTGAGATATTATTGTAGTGTTTAATCGAATTTTTTGTATGAAGTGGAATAACCTCAACGGTTACTCGAAGAAAACAATTTGGGAATAAAGATGAAGTAGGTTCATACAGGTATTTGTTCATTGAGTACTTAAGTACTTTGTTTTACGACTGATGGCAAGAAAGGTGACTTTAACAAGAGCGGTAAAGGAAGCACGAGTGAGCTGGTTGCGGTAACTCAAATTAATTGTTTGTTTTATTCAAAGATATTATTAAGAGTTATCAAATGCAGTGTGCCTATATACGGTGTAGTATATGTTAGTATATTTGAATGTAGTTGGTAGAGGTGGAGGGGATGTTGTGATAAAAATCTAGCCTGGGACAAACATGTTGATCATGTTATCGAAAAATGTCTTCAGGAGTATCTGCTTTAAGACAAATGTATAAAGTTTGCAGCTTAAAAACATTAATATCAATATATTATGCCTTAGTTCATTCTAATTTAGCTTATGGAATCAGTATATATGGAGCAACTACATCAAAAAACTTAAAACGGATTCTATCGTACCAAAAAAGGGCAATTAGGGCAATGTTTAATTTGAAAAGGAAAGATTCGGTAAAACATATTTTTACCGATCTTGGAATACTAACTGTTCATGGACTATATATCTTGGAAACTATTATTTATGCAAAAAATATTACAAAAACTCAGGTATCAAACAAAATTAGTCATAATTATAACACTCGTTCTCAATCTCAAATTGATAGACACAATCTAGAATTTTATAAAAAGAAAACAAAATTCGCAGGTAATAAATTTATGTCCCATCTTCCAAAAATACTTCTAACTGAAAATGATACAAAAAAGTTTAAAAATTGTCTGAAACAGTATTTGATTAAAATTGCCCCTTATTCTCTTGAAGAGTTTTGGGAGAACAAATAAAATAGATATTCTGTCTTATTTTTAGTTCTTAAATGTAAAACATTTTATTTTGTAAGATCTGACTCTATTCCTGTACAATTGTACTTAAATGAATAAAGGATATTTTGATTTGATTTGATTTGATTTGATGTTTGGAGAAATTTGATAACGGATGATACTACGGGCAATGGGTGGATAAACCGCGAGACAGAGGTGGCTATTGACATTCTAGATCCACTTTATGATGGTATAATATGTGTTTTACCTTTGTACGCGAACCAGACCGTTGAGGCTAACATACTCGAACTTGATGGTATTTACGTTCCGGAGCTGCCGATTTTTCTATAGATAATCGCGTGCTTGGCACAAGCAAAGTCACAGAACGTAGCGGCGATTAAGATGTATGCTCTTTTCGAGCATCTCCGAGAACGTTACCAGATGTTTCTAATTAACTTAAACATACATATCTTTCATTAAGGTGAATCAGGGTTAAGATTAACAGATGAAGCGAGGGTTGATATGGAAAGGTGTTACCAGGATGTACAACCTCAAATGGGTGTTTTGAATAATCCGATAGTGGTTCGTGTGTCTTCGGATGGTATTGGTAAATACTTTTTTCGATTACCAACGGAGTTCACAGTTTCACCTCATGGTGCTTTGCTATTGCTTTGCTGTTTCCGCTCCATCTCCCTCCAAGCGATCGTCATCGTGAAACGTGGTTACGTGAAACATTCTACTACTGTATTTCTATTCTATTGAGCTTTTTAGTGACTTATGTCCCTACAAGCCACTAGTCCTTTATTAAATACGTTGTTTTACAATGCATGTAAACTTCAATATTTACGTAACAGCCAATAATTTACAGTATTTTTGCTTTTTAGAAATGCCGCATTGCTATGTCATTTGCAATAATTGTTGACCATGAAGGCGCACAACCATATAAACGAGGAGGTCCCTAACAGGCCAAGAATAAAATCAAACTTCACTTTAAGTATATTCCTTTACACCTAACTTTCCGTAGATAAATTAGCATAAGCCTTGACAGTAACCGTCGATTTCGATGGGTAGTCCTTATATATAATACGTGAAGGCGTTTTCTATGAAACACTACTCCTTCGTTAATAATGGACGGATTTTTACAAACGATGTGTCAAAATTAAGTATTTTTTGTGTAGACGCCCCCTTTCACCAATTCCTGTAATAAAAGTCCTCGGGCTTTGCCCCACAGGCCATCAAAATCCCAATGTATTTCTTATGATGAAAAGATTTTGTTTACTTGAACAGACGAATAATATTTGTATTAATTACAGCTGTTCATTAGTAAACACATTATACACACAATAGTGTTCGTTTTCAGAGTGAGTTGGTTTGCAGTTTCGATAACTAGAGTGGAGTGATTGATTAAATTAACTTTGAGTTGACTCTTTTGAAAGTCATAATCGGAAATTATGACTGTTATTCGTTTTGAAATAACGCCTTTAACAATTGCTTGAATTCGAGCAACAGGTGCTCCAGTAATCAATATTACATTTGGATTACTCATTTGCCAGTCCATTCTGCAATGTTCTGTATACTATATAAAACCAGGGATAACGTTTCCTATAATAATCAAGACTTTTTAGTTACGTCTTAGAATGTTGAAGTCAATTATTTTACTGTGTAATTTGAAAATTCGTTTATTTTTAAATAAATTAGTTATGCATATGATAAAAGGTAGAATCATAGGAGAAGGAATTAAGCTTAGAATGGATAAAAAAAACATAACAAAGTTTTTTTCTTCTAATTTGAAGGTTATTGTTGAAGGAATGTTTAACATGAAGTAACAACATTGACTAAATAATAAATGATTCAAGATTAAATGGAACAATTCTGCTTTGTTTTGATTTCAAAATATAGGCCTATGTTCAAAATTTATTCTACACTTTTTTTGTATATTTACTAACATTTTAAATTTGAGATTTATTGTTTAATCAAAATGTTGTATGAAGTGGAATATAATAATAATAATAATAATAATAACCTCAACGGCCACTCATAGAAAACAACCTGGGAATAAAGATGTAATAGGTTCGTACAGGCAATATATTTGTTCATTAAGTACTATTACAAGTTCCAATGTGCAGAAAAAATATTGTTTGGAGGAGATTTTAACGAGGTACTGCCTGTTGCTCCAAAAAAAAAGGTTCAAATAATACACATAACACACGACCGAGTTAGCCAGTTCCAAAGTTAGCCAATTCCTACGTCTCAAAAGCTTTACTTAGGTCGACAAACGTAGCCCAAGTATAGTTGCCGCTCTCTAAAGCGCTCAAGACTCAAGGTTGTTGCGGACCATGCCATCAACAGCACCCATGGTAGAGCGACTAGCCCTGAAACCAAACTGATTTTGATTAAAAAGTGAGTTAGATTAAAAAAAACTGACTTGATTTGATCATAAATCACATGCTCAAAAATCTTTGCTAAGACAGGAACCAGACTTATGGGCCAACAACCACCCATCTTATTCATATCACCTTTCTTAAATTTAGGAAAGATTTTGGAAAGTTTGAGACACTTGGGAAAATGTCCCTCTTGAAGACAAGTGTTAATACTATAGGTGAGAGGTACAATGATTAGGTCAGCCCTCCTTTATACTAACTAAACTAGTTAGAAAAGTCATAATAGTCCTCCCCGCTTGTACGCCGATTTACTGCTCGGCTTTGAGATAGCTAAATCAAATTGCGTTGGGTGAAATAAACTAAAAGGGCCCCGCAAAAATAAATATTGTAAATAAAAAAAAATTTAAATAAATTTTATTTGTAATTTATTTGAAATAAATTTTGTAGGCTACTGCGGCGCCGCAACTGTAGCGTCGAGCTGTAAAATATAATATACAAGGTTTTAACAATCTAGGATGACCTAATGAATAATTAAATTTTACTCGCCAAAGTGAAAACGAAAAGGGATAATAACGTATACGCTAACTATAACGGTGTACTAATATGGTACCTACTTAAGAATCACAATATTTATTTATTTGTTTTTCATACTAACTCATATATAGAACATTTAAAATTTAAAAATCTGTTTTTCATTCATACTGATTTCTCTGATTTACTTGTGTTTCAGGTCTCAAGACAACTACAGATCCAATATCTAGTCATTAGGATTGAGTTAGTAGGTCATAGCGTTTAGACACGTATATTACAACTGTAGAATGAACATTTATGTATCAGTACAAAGTTGTTGTTATATTTTACAAACCAGTTAACTTACTTAGTATTTCTATTAATGTACGTGTTAATGTATATAATGTAATGTTTATAAAATTATGTCATAAAATTAATTTGTCACTATTGCTTTGATTCCACTTGTCTAACTTTAACTCACCTTTTGTACCTTAACCACTGTGGGTAGTTTCTTCAAGAATATACTTGTCCAATAGGCATATGAATTTCTTACAGGGAAGAGTGTCCAGCCAACCTGGAAACTGGGAATTGTAGGTAAATTTTGACTACCGGGAAAAATCCGTGAATTTTGCAAGGAACCAGAAAATTTGAATTTTTGAATAATCGCCGAAAAACCGCCTGAAATTACAGAGTTTTTTCGTTTTGCGTCATCAAAAATCGTGATTGCGGGAAACATCCCGGATGTTGCCATGGTTGTAAGAAATGATCACGTACATTGCCGCGATCGTAAGAAATTATCACGGAAGTTGCCGCAGAAATTATTAAGGAAATTGCCGCTATCGTAAGAAATAATTTTGGTAGTTGCCGCTATATGCAAGCAATTAAACCTTACCATAGCTATGTATGATGATGCATAGCAAATGTATCATCATAAATTTTGCCCCGATCGCAAAATGATCACATTTATACATCGAGCGCGAAAATAGTGACGGTTGTTGATTGTGTTAATTGCTGAAGATGATCACGGATTTTACCGCAATCACTTTGCGATCACGGCAGGGTTTAAGTAGCATATGTTTAAAGAATAATATTTTTTCTACAGTTTTCTGAGTCTTTGTTGCATTTTTTTCTTAAACAAATCAGATGGTTATCGGTCAGTTTAATTATTATACTTAATGTAACCATTTTATTTTTTATTTTATTTTTTGTAAATTTTTTGCGCTAGAATCCAATTAAAGGATGCATGCATTCTCGTTTTGATTGTTATTTTTATTTGTTTGATATAGTTTAGTCATTTCAACTTTCTTGGTTTTGAAATGTTTTATACAGTTCTTCTTGAATCTGAGTTATTTTTGTTTTTTTCAGGGGGGAGTTTTTAATTTCCTAGTGTGCTAAAACCCCGTTCACACGGGGTAAGTTTAGCTTCTGACCAGACCACTTGGGTGTGTATTAATTGTGAAATCTTGCGGTTGTGTTGGTGTTTGCGTACATTTAAAATGAAATGGTCTGTGGAAAGCGTATCGGTGTTCCTAAATGTGTAGGTACCAAAAGTACCCAGACTTGTGGAACATCAAAGATAGACTACAGTAGACTCCCTCTTATCCTGACTCCACGGGACCGAGGCCAGTCCGGATAACAGTTTTTCCGGTCAAACTGACGTCCCCAAAAACTTTTTATGTAACCAAACTATTTGACTTAAATTTAGGAGAGCATTGTAATGAGACACGTGATCACTGGTCTCAAATTTTTCCCACGAGAACAGTCTGTTCAGTACTGCCCACTTCCTGCCGATCTAGTCCGGTTAAACCAATGTGCTGATAAAAATTGCCCGGTTAAAGAGATGTCATTTCCGCCGAGTGTAGTCCGGTTAAACCGATGTCCGGTTAAAAGGTGTCCGGATAAGAGGGAGTCTACTGTATGCCAATAAACCGTTGAGGGATACATTTTTCAAACAGCTGATGATTGGAGAACAATAAGAGAACATGGATGAAAAACAGCTGAAATCCAAAATAAAGTAATAATTTTGATGCACCATATTACGTACGTCTTCCTACCCACTGTCTCGTTCACACTTTCCTCCTTTTCCGTTTCTCATCTTGTCATCTAATCAATTCATTTTAATCACTTTTGCTATAACTTCATCTCCCGCTAGAACCTACTCCTACGACATCTTCAAATAACATGTGCACAAGCACAAGTAACTGTGTTCACACTGGCAGTGCCGGATTTATCACTAGGCCGTTGCCAAGGGCCGCAAACAAAAAGGGGTTGCAATGGATTGACAATAAATTTTTTTTATAGAACATAAAATATGTTTTTTAATTATCAATTTGCTGCGATTGCGGGTGACAATGATGATGTCCCTGTGATTGCGGCCCACGGGAGGTATTCAAGATTTTGCCGCGGTCGCGGGTGACGCTGATAATGTAGTCATAATTGCAGCCTATGGGGGATATTCTCGATTTTGCCGCAGTCACTGGTATCGATGATAATGTCACCGTGATTATGACCAATGGGAGATGTTTATGATTTTGCCGTTGTCACCTGTGTCAATGATGATGTCCCCATGATTGGAGCCAATTGGAGATGTTAACGATTTCGCCGTGGTTGCGGGTGTTGCTGATGATTTAGCAGTGATTGCGGCTCACGTGAGATAATCACGATTTTGCCGCACTCGCGAGTATTGATGATATTGTCACCGTGATTATGACCAATGGGAGATGTTTACGATTTTGCCGTTGTCACGTGTGTTGATGAAGATGTCCCCTTGATTGGAGCCTATGGGAGATGTTGCCATGATGCGGCACACAGAATATTTTCACGATTTTGCCGCGGTCACAGGTGTCGCTGATGATGCAGCCGTGATTGTGGCCCACGGGAGATAATCATGATTTTGCCTCGGTGGCGGGTAACGCTGATGATCACTGTGATTATGACCAATGGGAGATGCGGAAATTAAATAAAAGAAACGTCTTATAACACTTAAAACATATATTTACGCTTATACTGTTACTCACAAGACGGTAAATATACAAAAAAGATGGTAAGTGGTGATCGATTTCGATTGGACACTCCAATCATCATCAGACCCAATAGGCGAGTGACAAGAATCTTGAATGGCGTCCCTACTTATACCCTATTGGCTACCGGAAGCACCGGCCAATACATTTTTATAAGTACAACTGGAATCAAAATGTATTTGTTCATTAATCAACTTATTTCTATCTTTACATTTTTCCTTATAAATATACAATTCTTCCCAAGCATTCATTACATATCCTTTCTTACAATTCTTTCAAATATCTAGACTATCCTCCATTTTTCCTAGTGAGTGCCCATTTTGTAACAGGTGTTGTGCGACATTTGATCTTTCCGGAAATTAAATAAAAGAAACGTCTTATAACACTTAAAACATATATTTACGCTTATACTGTTACTCACAAGACGGTAAATATACAAAAAAGATGGTAAGTGGTGATCGATTTCGATTGGACACTCCAATCATCATCAGACCCAATAGGCGAGTGACAAGAATCTTGAATGGCGTCCCTACTTATACCCTATTGGCTACCGGAAGCACCGGCCAATACATTTTTATAAGTACAACTGGAATCAAAATGTATTTGTTCATTAATCAACTTATTTCTATCTTTACATTTTTCCTTATAAATATACAATTCTTCCCAAGCATTCATTACATATCCTTTCTTACAATTCTTTCAAATATCTAGACTATCCTCCATTTTTCCTAGTGAGTGCCCATTTTGTAACAGGTGTTGTGCGACATTTGATCTTTCCGGTTTGTTGTTCCTCCACGCAGATATGTGGTTTTTGAAGCGGTTAACGAAGTTCACAGTCTGTCCAATGTAGAAGCTATCACAATCGTTACAATTGATTTTATAGATGCCCGAAGTGTCGAATTTGTTACAATCTTCTATTTTTGGATGCAGTATTTTACTTATGGTGTTCTGAGTCCTGTAGGCTATTGAAACTCCGTATTTCTTGAATCTGTTAGCAGTCCTTTGTGTTGTAGTCCCCGTGTAGCTAAATGTGATATATCTGGTGTTTTCCTCTTTTATCTCTTCTAATGTTGTTCTGCTGTGTAGTGTAGTCTGTCTATCGATTATCCTCCTCGTCTTCCTTGCGATGTCCTCTATCGTCTTGGTTCGAAATCCATTCACTTGAGCGATCTTCTTAATGGTGTCCAGTTCTTTTTTCCTATTGGCTTGGCTAAGTGGGATCTTATAGGCTCGGTACAGCATAGATCTAAAGGCTGCGGTCTTGTGGATTGTCGGATGGATAGACTTGTTGTTGATTGTAGTGGCCGTTTGCGTAGGTTTCCTGTAGATGTCAACTCTATCTTGCTGTCTTTTCTCTCTAATGTGAGGTCCAGGAAGTTGATCTTTTTGTTTTCTTCAAACTCGTTGGTAAATGTGAGGTTCGGGTGGTGGCTATTTAGTGTCTGCATCATCGTTTCGTGCTCCTGCTCCTGGGTTTGTCTGAAGATAAAAAGAATGTCGTCTACATATCTAACATACAGTTTTACATCATGATTCTTTCTTAAATTCACTAACATTTCTTTTTCCTGATGCTGTAAAAATATTTCTGACAAAATTGCCGAAAGTGGACTTCCCATAGCTAAACCATCTGTTTGTTCGTAAAATCTATTGTTAAATCTAAAATAATTTTGCTTCAAAACAGTCACAAGCAATTTTACAATCTGATTGACATATTCATCGTCTAAACTATTCTGTAAAAGCCTACATTTAACAAGATCTACAGTTTCGGATACAGGTATGTTTGTGTACAGATTTGCGATATCAAATGAGACTAGCCTATTATTCGAATCTATATCTATGTTCTTTACACGTTCAACAAATTCATAACTATTCTTTACATTGTATACATATTCTAATTCTAAATTATTGCTGAGCTTACTTGCTAACAATTTTGAAACATTGTAGATAGGAGCACATTTAAAGTTAACTAATGGTCTGATGGGTACATTCTTCTTGTGTATTTTTGGGATCACTTTCATCACGGGCGCTTTAGAATTTAGGATGTTCATCTTCTGTCGACATTCTTCGGGAATCACTCTGGTGCATCTCTTCAAGACGTCGGTCAGCTCTCTTTGGTACTTCTGCGTTGGATCCTTTTTCAGCTCTTTGAAGTTATTTTTTTTTATGAAATCTTCCGTCTTCTTTACATATTCTTCTTTTCCGAGCACTACGATGGCGTTACTTTTGTCTGCTTTCACAACAATTGAGCGATTCTCTTCCAGTTTCTTCTTTATTTTGTTGCACGTCTTCAGTTCTTCATTTCTGCTGGGATCTATGGGTCCTTGGCTGGTGAAATCGTTGGCTGTCACTTCCTTCCGAACGGCATAATGGTCTACGTCTCTGAGTGATTTTACATTTGCTTCAACTTCAGTAGCTGATGATTTAGCAATGATTTAG